CCTGCTGACAGTGACCGCCCGCCCCAGCGTTCTGTCGCATCAGCAGATCGCTCTCAAAACACAGTTTAAGTGAGGAAAAATAAATGCAAGACTTTTCCTCAGGGCAGCAATCCAGCTGCTACCTGAAAACTCACAGTATGTCTTAAGAGCTCTCTCCGTTTAGATCTGCAGCATTTTCTCCTCCTGCCCTCCTTCACCACACACGCATGAACTTCCCACGCTTCCTTACTATTCTTGCTGTTCCTCCATCCTCCATGTCTGGTTTCTGACAGTCTTTTAGTTCTAACTCTTCCTGTCCCAACTCCTGCGGGTTTTTCACCATGGTTATCGAAATTTAAGTGCTGTGATGCACAAACAGTCTATCACTGCGTGCCCAGGGATGAGGTCTGGGTCGGGCTCCAGCAGCTGTTGGTGTGCCCACCCACAGCCCACGGCACATGCTTCTCTGGAGGGGAGGTCACTGACCATGAGAGGAGAGCAGACACAGTCAGCCACCAGGAAGCAGTGGCACTGAGGCAGCCCACGGCACATGCTTCTCTGGAGGTCACAGGAACCGCCTGGCCACTGACCATGAGACGAGAGCAGATACAGTCAGCCACCAGGAAGCAGTGGCACTGAGGAAGTTAATTAGCATCGCAGCCCTCCCTGACTACACATGCAATTAAATCACGCCCTACACCATCCTGCCTTGGCATCTGTTTGCAGGCAACTGTTATCTACTTAGGACTAGCTTAAAAAACCTCAAGTACAGTTGGTTCTAAGCAAAGCACTTGGAATTTCCACTTCAATTTCACTGCTAATCCCTTTGAGCCTCTCTGCTGGCCAGTTCACACACCAACCACGGAGGAGCCGCTTTTGCACCTCACTGGTAGCAAGTCCCACCCCCAGGTCCTCTCAGGCACCAGCACAAAGGTTTGGTGAGTGAACACTCAGGTCAAAAACCAACAAATCAAACAAACCAAATCCAAACAGACAAGAAGACAGAATATTTATTATCCTTTGTTTCTAACCAGAAAAAAAGAACAAACAAAAAAGAAAGTGAAGGAAACCAGCCAACTCTATCCCAAACTTTCACAAGAATCAAGATGTTGATTGATCTTGATCTGCTCTTTTAAATGCTTTTGATAACTCTGGGAATAAAGCAGCTACTTCACGTTCCTGTGTACGTGGAAACGGTTACTATTTTGTTTCACCCTTCAACGCCCTGCAGCAGAGCCAGAACAAACCGACTCACCTACCTCCTCCTGTTTGGCTCCTTATTGTCATCTTTCAGGCAGGAGGACTGCCTTTTCCTGGGACGTCTCCGCTGCGACGGTGTCTTGGGCATTAATTCAGGTTCAGCCCCAAAGCTGCTGCTGAGCAGACAGATACAGAAGACAGATTGCTGCCCCCACTGCCTGCAACAACGCCATCCACCCCCCGCCCCCAGAGCAAGGGTCACGCACTGAGGAAGAGGAGCGTTGGGTGAGAAACAAGGGAGTAAAACGCACCAGCCGCCCGGCACGG